ATCAGGAGAGGCCAGTCCCTGGAAAAGGACATCATGCTTGGTAAAGCAGAGGTTCAGCGAAAAAGAGGAAGACCCTGAATGAGATGAATTGACGCAATGGCTGCAAAAATGGGATCAAATAGCAATACTTGTGAGGATGATGCAGGACCAGGCAGTGTTTTCTTCTGTTGTACATAGGGTCGCTATTAGTCAGAACCAGCTTGAAGGCACCTAACAACAACATTGTAAATGGTACTGTGTTTAAAATTTTAAAATCTTTCATTGCTTGTAATAAGAAAGCAATTAACTTATATATTAACCTTGTGCCCTGTAATCACGCTATATTCAATTTGCTCTAGGAATTTTTTGTTTTATGTTGAATCTTTTGGGTTTTCTATACAGTTATATTTTGTCTTCTCCAATCTGTATTTTTTTTATTTTTTTATCCTTGTTTTATTGCACTTGCTCAGACTGCTAGTATGATGTTGAATAGGAGTGGTGAGAGGGAATTTCTTTGCCTTGTCAATCTCAGAGGGAAAACTTTCCATTTCTCACTATTTCTTCTCTTTTTACTACCTCATACCCTGATTTTTTAGTTCTCTTCTTTCTTTCTAATTTTCCATCTCTTCTTATGTCTGGTATGATAGAAACGACAGGGAGAATCAGAGAGTCACTGATTTAAATCATGATTTGGATCTTGGGCAAGTTAATTTAACCCCTTTTTATTTCAGTTGCTCCTTTCTACAATTTGGATACTATTGCCTATACCAATGGGCTGTTGTGATGATAGCTTGGGAAAATTATTCAAAAATTCTGCTTATTCACTTAATAAATTAATTCTTAACTGATGTAGGTGCTGTGTAAATGCTTGAGATGCTACTGTGGAAAAGACACTGGTTCAGCCCTCAGAAACCTATAGGACAAAAAAAGTCCATGGCACAGTGCTATGAGAGCTCTAAGTACACATAGTGTATATTTTTGTAATTAGAAGCTATCATCTTTATTATTATTCATTTCCAAATTTATTCACTTTTTCTGAAGTGTCAAAAAGAGCTAATGACATTTTTTGATCTCTTCTGCTGCATAACTTCTTTGTTTCAATCACACAAAGTCAATGCAAACAATCCTCCAATTGATAATCTGTCCAGTGTCTGCACTGTTTCCACTCTTCCTCCTCTTTCACATTCATATCTCAAAAAATGTCTATATTAGGAATACATGTACATTTATATTCTCATATAATTCTCATGAACACATATATGCTATTTCAAACATAATACGTATTATATTCCAGCAAGCAAGGGGGATAACAATTATTGTTTTATATAAAGCACACAAAGCATTTAAAACAAGGTTTCTTCATAATACTGGTGCTGATTAGGTATGCAGCAAGTTTTTATACAAGCCAATGTTATTCTTGGGGTAAATCCTTTGCATTCTGTAAAGAATAAGAAGGTTAAAGAGACATTTTATATGTGAGTGCATAGGAGCACTAGTCTGGATATTGTGTTTTAAAAAATAACCAACTAGATCTTGCTTTCCCAAAGGACATTGCTTTGTTACTAGGCAACAGCCTTTATAACACCCAGGAAGTGTTAACTAAATACACTTGCAGATCAGCTTCAAGGTATTCTCTGATTTATGAGGTGATAGAGAGAAACAATTCATTAACTCCACTGCCTATTTTTTATTAATCTTTTATTTTGGGGATGGGAGAAAAGAACCAGATGTGGAAATATGGAAGGAGGAGAGAATGGCATTGCTCACACAGACATAGAAACCACTGGGGGTATATCAGCAAGTGCCATACTGAGCACTTGCCCTTTTCTGCTCCCTGCTGCCTACACTGGCCACATAAAAATCTAGGTTTTAAAAGACAAAGTGATTTGTTTTGCCCGTCTCTCCTAACTTTCTTAAAAGTACCCTAATGAAGCAATAGCATAGAGGTGTTGAGCTGAGCTTTGCATGTGCATGTGTGTGTGTCTGTGTGCTTTAAAAACACTAACATGTTTTATGAGATTTTTGACAGTATCTGCTGACTCCTTAGTCTGTTGAAACTCCTCTCTGCATCAGCAATTTTCTATTTGATTTAGAACACGTTCTAAATATTTTTCATATTCTCCACGAAACATTGGAAGCAGACTGACATAGAATGCTTAAATCCATCCCAAAGAACTTTGAGAACACAGACGGGCTTGCTGCTCCTCTCCAGCACACACTTAGCTTCTGAAACAAAACTCACTGACCAAGTTGCCCTCCTGGCTAATGACTGCTATGTAAGGTGGTCTAGGACATTTAAGTGATGGGATTTGCTAATTAAAAAGCATTTTCTCTGACAGACTGAAATACTTATTTTTAAGACAGCTGATGTGGGTTGCCTGAGACGGTTTCTATGCTTTTTGAAAGAATAATGTAGTCATTCCTTAAAGAAAAGCAATTAAGGGAATGGTTCTGGCCATCCAAGAAAGTTACTTTAGCTTGACAGGCAGTTCTGTGAAAGCATTTTACATGTCTGTTTTATAACAATAAAGATCACCATTTAATTCACCTATCCCTGATTCTGAGTCTTCCAGTAATTGAACTACTTTATGGTATATTTACATATCAAGTGGATAAAAATTAAATATTTCGGTGCTTACTGTGTAAGAGGAAGGAACCCTGGTGGCACAGTGGTTAAGAGCTCTGCTGGCTGTTAACCCAAAGGTCAGGGGTTTGAACCCACTAACCGCTCCACAGGAGAAAGATGTGGCTGTCTACTTCATTAAAGATTACAGCCTTGGAAACCCTATAGGGCAGATCTACTTTGTCCTACAGGGACATTATGTGTCAGAATCCACTCAACTAGGTGGAAACTGGTTTGGCTTTTTGGTTATTGTATAAGAATTCCTGTCTGGAATCACAGATTGTGTGTGCGTGTGTGTGTGTGTGTGCACGTGCTTTAATATTCATTAAGTTTCCAATATGTGCCAGGCCCCTTCACAAATATAAATCCTCAAAACAAAGCTGTTTTATTTATTATTTAACACAATTTTATGGACTTGGAAATAGAAGCTCAGAGGGCTTAAGTAATTTACCAAACATGTTGTGGATATTTGAGTCATTGATAGATTTCTGACTTCAATTCCAATATTGTTTGTAATGTCAACCTTACTTTAATAGATCATTTAATGGCAAGTAATCAAAGATTACTTAATTTAACATATTGCTGTTGTCTTGTACATTTGTTACTTTTCAATGAAAGGTCATTTCTAATAAATATTTAGTTTATTTTATATTAGAGTTTGTATAATGCATGTATTTACCTTTCTTGCAGGTATATTTACATGCATAAGGTTTGCAATATTAATTCTAAAACACTGTATATTCTCAGACTTGTGGCTGCAGCATATAGTAGTAAGTTTATAAATAAAAAAATAGAGATCATGGAATTTTTAATAATGATGTTGTATTTTATGTTTTAATTTGCTTTGTATAAATTATAATATATGTAAGCTTATTTGTATACATATAATTTGAATATTGGCTTGAAAACATGATTTGATAGCAGGTTATGAGTAAGCTGGTATTTTTAAAATTACTTAGAAGATTGTCAAAAGGAAGAAAACTTATATTATTGAATGCTACTCATTTAAACTAATGGATTTTTAATAACTGTACTCCAATCTCCAACAAAGAAGACTTATTTCTAAATTCAAGATAACTCTGCTAATACATCTAACTTTTGGTATTGCCATCTAGTTCTTTAAGCATTATTGTGCTTTTATTTATGAAAACTAAGTACTTAACTAAATGCAGAAGCTTGTAATCTTGCCAAAATGATGAATTTTTAGCCTGTCTTAGTATGTTTAGCAAAAGGCACCAGAAACACAAGTTTTTTAGAATTTCTTAGTTTTTCTTTTTAACTAATATTATTGTTCCACACAGTTCCTCTAGAACCAGGGATATCATGATAAAATCATGTTGACCAAGTGAGGGAAAAATACATTATTAACAAAGACAGCAATATTTAAATTTGGAAATGATAATCTAACCAAATAAATGGGGCTGTTAGGGAGATACAGGGATCTGGTCCTGTATTTATCTGTACACATAAAAACCTGATATTTATCAGTAATAAATATCTATCTCAGATACAGGGAGAGATACAGGGGAAGAAGGGTGTGTGTCTCAATGGTTCTTGATATGGGAAGGGAAGGTTTAAGCAGATTTATTTAAATGAGCAGATTTTAAATAAAAGCATGCAAATTTTCAGCATGCCTCCAGAACGCTGGTAATGGGCACCTAGAGATGATTGCCTTAAAACAAAGCAATATGTGACTTTTTAAACCAAAAATTAAAGGAATAGTCCTAATGTAGCTCTTTGTGATGATACTCTATCTTTGTAGTTTTTAATTTTAATAAGCCAATCATCGAATTATTATTTCCATTATGGAAGGAAAAAGATGAACTGATTTTCAACATAGATTATTCCGTTATCATTATTACTTAGATGTGTAATGCATTCTCTTTCAAACAAGCAATTACATTCACAAAGTATACTCACAGTTTCAGTTTTGATATACACATGAATCATTTATATGCTATAGCATCATTACCTTACAGCTCAGCTCTACAGTCTCTACAAGCAATATATTTTGTAGTGGTGGAGAGAAGGCCTCCTTGTGACAAAGACACTATTTAACATTGACGTGAGTTGTTTTATGTAAAAAAAAATGAATAATTTCTTAGACAACAAGAATACATAATGCGAAAATGTGAAAAAGTTAAGATTCTTAAATATATCCAAGACAAAGTTGAAAAGAACTTAATTTTTCAGAGTTTAGGAGTTTAACAACATACAGTCTCTTTTATTTTGACAAGAGTTTTAACCTTTGATTAAAAAGTTATTGAAATATTTGAAGTCTCTATGCTATCTCAAAATATTTTGTTTTTAAAGAGCTAAAACAAAACCCAGGGGAGGAAAATGGAACGTAAGTGCAATACTGGGAGATATTAACTACTTTTAAAATCCTGTCTTTCAGGAGAGAACGTTGACCATTAGAAGACAGACTGTAGGAGGATTTGGATTAAGCATAAAGGTAGCTTGTCTTTCAGTATATCACTATCAAGGTCATGCTGTCATGTTGCACTTTGTGTACTTTATTTTTGCGGATTCATGACTGACAAGAATGGCTATCCCAAACTCCTTAATACTTGGTCAGGGTTGTAAATTAGAAAGGTTCTCACAGAATCTTGCCACATCTTACCATACTATTTAAAGATTTTTTAAAAAGTATTTGGAACTTATATCTTACCAGGTGTTGCATACAACTCATTGATTTTCTTCACATGGTTTCATTGGAAATATTAAATATGGTGTTGTATTGTGCATATATTCTCTAATCAATCAGTGTAGGGAATGTTGACCTGCCAGTGGGTGAAGTGAGAACAAGTTTTATACAGAAAAGAAATGGTAGTAAGTAAAGTACTTGTGTTCTATTCCTCTTTTTCTTTTAATTTTCATTTTTATTTAAGAAATAAGTAAAATTTCATGTAACAACATAAGCATATAGGATAGGCTACCATCTTAGCATCTCATTTATTTTAATGACCATATCTATTCATTTCCATCCATTAATGAATTTTAAGTAGCTGTTATTTCTAGATATTGTTGACTGTTAAAAGAGATGGACAACATCCACAATTTATCATCCTGGAAATAAAGTAGAGGTTTAAAAAGGATGGAAATTGTTACATATCAATGCAAGAGTTCAGTTAATAAATTCAAATGCTCTTTACAAACCTACGTCTGTCCATAGATAAATAAAATTGAACTTTACCTTGATTCTTGGGTTAGGTACTTTGCTTAGGTAGGGTAAAAATCAAATACTTCTTAGGTATACATTTCATGAAATTTTAAAATGGCTCTAGTTGTATATATATGGTGGAACTCTAAATTCTCGCAAATATTAGCTCTAACTGCCTTTACTCATTGACTCAGAAAAGAGATCAATGTTCAATAGCCTTGCATAGTCACAGATAAGAATATTACTCTATGGAAATTATAGTTTTAAAATGTATTTTGTGGTTTTACTTTATCTTTCATCAACTATGACTAGGGAGACATGCAGAAGAGGGAGTGCTATCATTCAATAAACTATTTTTTTTGCTTGTTTTTTTTGTTTTTTTTTTTTTGGTTGGTTACTTCTTTCTTTGTTTTGGTTTTAGCCAGGGTGTTTATTGAGGTTGTGAAGGATGTAAAGGTACCACCAGAAAAGTCCATAAAGAGGGAACACATACTGAGTGTGAGCAAAATCCAACGGTGAGAATTGACTTCGTTTGAGAAAAGCATTTTTGCATACGTTGGCACTTTCCCTATTTTTGGTGGTGGAACTTTACTATTTTTGTGCCAGCAGGAAATACCCTTTATGCTTTTGCTATTTCCATTTATAATTGACTCCCAGTAATACTACTGTGTTTGTTTGTTTTGATTGAAATACTACAGAATTAAACCTAGATAATTTTTAAAGCATCTGCCAAATGAATCTTTCCAGCTTATTTTCACTATTTCAATCCAAAAAATGCTCTTTTACACATAATAAAGTGAGTAATTTTCTGAATTAAGTAAGTTTGTAATCATGCAAAATATTGACAAAAAAAGTAACATTTGTACTGTGATCAGTTTACACAATAGGCAGTTTGGCCAAAAAAATAATAATAATAATAGTAAATGATAATAAGGAAAATAGTACCTATTTGTCCCAATTCATTTTGGCTTTCTCAGTACTCAACCACTGAGCTTGATTTCTATCTTTCATTCTCTTCGTGCATTTTAGATAGTAATATTTTTTTAATTTTATTTTTGAAAATATACCCAACAAATCCCACTCCCATTTCAGTTTCTAGACATAATGATCAGAGATATTGGTTACATTCTTCACATTGTTTCAACATTCTCTGTATTTCTGCTCTAGTTTTTCCCTTCCATTTACTTAACCTCCTGCCCTCCAACCTTCTCACATATGCTTTAAAATAGTTGTTGACCCCTGGTCTTGTATAGATTTCTTTTTTTTTTTTAAGTAAAGCAGTACCCTAGGGCGACAATCTTTACTCTTTAGGCTAAACTGTTACTTAGTTTGAAAGTGACTTCAGGAGATAGTTTTAATTCAAAGTTTAAAGAGCAACTCTAGGGGACTTCTCCAGACTTAATAGGTCCAGTAAGCCTGGATTTGTTAAGAATTTGAAGTTTCGTTTCATATTTTTCTCCCGTTCTATCAGGATTTCTCTATTATGCTCCTAATCAGAAAGTTCAATAGTGGTAGCCAGACACCATCTAGTTCTGGTATCAAGGTAGAGGAGGCGGTGGTTCATGGAGACAGTTAGTCCTGGTGTCCAGTTCCATCTCCGATTCTTGTGTTCCCTTCTTTCTGTTCTGTTCCAGATGAATAATAATCAATAGTTATATCTTCGATGGCTGCATGTAAGCTTTTAATACCCAGACACTATCCACTATACTGAGAGACAGAACATAAATTTTAAGAACTATATTATGCCAATTGACTGGTCCCATGAAATCAGGGCCCTAAGTCCCCAAACCAAGAAAACTAATCCCATCAGGTGATTGGTTATGTCTAATTAGTATCATCAACTGTAGCCACCCCCTCCCCTCTTTTTTGGTGGTTGTTATTGTTAAAAAATCGTACACAACCTAGCATTTGCCCATTCATTCCTTTTCCCTATGTGCAGCTTATTGACTTCAGTTTCATCATACATGCTGTGCAAACTTTACCCATATTAAGTGCCACCTTTCCCATTTCTATAAACAAAATGTGACTACTACCTAAGGAGTCAATTTCCCTCTCCTTCTCCCCGTCCCTGGTAACCACTAATGAACATTAGATTCTTTATATTTACTTATTCATGTCATTGCATAAAAGTAAGAACATACTATATATATATGTATATATAGTGATTGGCTTATTTCACTCAACCTAATGTCCTCCAGGTTCATCCATGTTGTAAGATATTTTGGGAATTCTTTTTTTTTATTGCTGAGTAGTATTCCATTGTATATATGTACCACATTTATTTGTGCATTCATCTGTTGATGGGTACTTAAGTTGTTTTATCTTTTTGCTATTGTGAATAGTGCTGCAATGAACACAGGCATGCATACGTCTGTTTCTGTCACTTCTGTTAACATCTTAAGGTATACACACAGGAGTGGAATTGCTGGGTTATGTGGCAGCTCTACCTCTAGTTTTTTCAAGACCCTCCAGACTGTTTTCCACAATAGCTGTACAATTTTGTATTCCCAACTGCAATGTATGAGGATTCCAAATTCTCCAAATAGTATCATTTTAATACTTATTTTAAATAGCCATGTTATTTTAAAAATCCCTTTGTCCTGCCATACTTGAATTGGATAAATTACGGTTTTTATCTAATAACACTTTTTTTAGATCTGAGAATTTAAATATATATATATGTATATGATGGATATATTTAAATATCATTCTAGGCTAAGAGAATAGTTATTATTTTAACATTGAACCATTTACTTATTACTGTCAGGAGCAATTTGGGTCAGCAATGTAACTATCCCTATAAAGATATTTTATCCTTATTTGCTTGAGTGGCCACCCTGAAGGTTTTGTAGTGAGAATTATTTATTAAAACCTGTAATGTCTCCACTGGAGATGGCAGAAGGAAGGTGGCATATTAGACAACTGAAGAGGCTTTTACTGGATAAGTCTCCTTCAGTGCTCTGGAATCCCATCTCCTCAGAATACATGGTGCTGTTTTTTCAGTTTTACTTCCTAAAATCACTTTTTAAAACTTGGCTGAAAGACAACAAAATGTTCTTTTTGGCCAGAAAAAAAAAAATCTAAAATATTCTAATACATGGTTAGAAGCCAGCCCACCTACTCCTGACAAATCTTGGCTCCTGGGACTTTACTGTCACTGGTACATTTGTGAGCTTCTTGATTCCTCAGCTTCCCCACTTTGCAGCTGATGCTTCAGAAGTCGGTAGGCAGTACAGAGAAACATCTCATACAGCTTTTTATTTTAATGCTTTATTTAGTAACACACCTAATGGTTGGCTAGTGGCTGTTGGTAACATGATGACCAGGAAGCTCTCAATGTTCAGAAAGCCATAGTGTCACCTGCCCATGCCCAACATTGCTCTCTCCCAAACCCACCTCCAGTGAGAGACTCTCCAGTTGGTATTTATGATGGTGGTAAAATAAAAGTTAGACTTTATCTTCTTTTATTTTTTCTAGATTATTAATAAAGCAGTGTTGAAACTTCTGGGACAAAAATATGCAGCTAATTTAGAGGGTGAGGCAGTTATGTGTCTCTGCAGTTTAGTTCTAGAACTTTTACATCTTCCACTGAAAGGCAAATGCCAGCTAAAACGTACAACACTTTGAAAAGTGGTCCCATCTCCAGAATTCCTGAAATCCCAAAGAATAAGAAACGGAAAAAAATCCAGTTGAAGAAATGAAAAAATATTGTATTATATTTAAATTTTAAAATTATGGTTTAAGTAAGTTTTAATCCGCTTTCTTTCTAAATTTTTTCTACTTTCTTTCCTATTTTTGCTTTGTTTTCTCATCTTAAAAAGTTAGTTTGCATTTGTCTTAGTTATTTTGTGACACTATAACAGAAATACCACAAATGGGTGTCTAAGGAACAGAAATTTTTTTCTAAGAGTTTAGGAGACTAGACATTTGAATTTAGGGCACCAGCCAGCCCTAGGGGAAGACTCTTTCTCTGTCCATTCTGGGGAAAGGCCTTTGTCTCTTTTCAGCTTCTATTCCTAGGTTCTTTGGTGATCATGTGGTGTATATCTTCCCCTCTGTTTGTGTTTTCTTGCTTAATCTACTCTTTTATAGCTCAAAAGAGTTTGATTTATTACACATCTACATAATACTGCTTCATTAACATAAGAAAGAAAACCCATTGCCAAATGGGATTATAAACATGAGTATAGGGATTAGGATTTACAACATATTCTTTTGGGGGACACAATTCAATCCATAACAGTATTATTAAGGATTTGTTACAAAATCTGACTCTCCTTTGAAAATGATTA